GGAAGGAAGGAAGGAAGGAAGGAAGGAAGGAAGGAAGGAAGGAAGGAAGGAAGGAAGGAAATCCATCTGCTGGAGAACTCCAGCCTCCTTCCTGGTCCAGCCTGCCTAGCTGGCCAGCCCCAGCATCTGCAAACTGCTGTAGTAGAAATATCCCCCCCCCCCCTGATGCCAACACCATACAATTGAAAATACGGCAGCTGTGAGGCTCAGTGACTTGGCCCAAATCACACGGCACAGCAGGAACGCAAGCTCACGTACCATTCAAAGGTTTAAGCTTTAGAGTGACCAAATAATGCATCACACAAACCACGATGCTATTGGGGGTGGGGGTGGCTATTGGTAATTCCCCCTGGACCCAAAGCGTAGACCAGAGCCATTTCCAGCACATCACAGCTCTGCTAACTCTACCCAGGGCACTCCTCTGCCTCTGCCCCCAGCAACTCCTCCCCTGGCTCCTCAAGTTTTGGGCTCGCCACCCTTAAGTCTCAGTCCATAGTGTGATTAGTATAAAAACCAGGGTCTCTCTCAGTCCTTGTCCTGCAGTCTCCAGATGCCTTTCCTCAAGAGCCTGTCTGCCCACCGGAAACCCCAGATTCTTCTGCAGCTGCTCTGGACGGTCCGTGTGTAGTGCTCCACATAAACCACACTGCACTCACGGTGCAGAGTGCGACACCCCCATCAGTTACGGGGGAACGGACGCCTTGCTAGACAGCAGGCCTGCTCTGCTCAGGGTTCTCTGCACACATCTGCACCAAGAGCTCCCTCCTCCGGGGCCTTAAAACCATTCAAATGCCCCCACCCACCTACCCCACCCTCCCTCCCAATCATGTTCCTATCCCTGTGTCCTCCTGGACCCACGGGTCTAAACCAGTGCCAGTGGTTCTTAATCTTCCTAATGCTGTGACCCTTTAACACAGTTCCTCATGTTGTGGTGACTCCCCAACCATAAAATTATTTTTGTTGCTACTTCATAACTGTAATTTTGTTATGAATCGTAATGTAAATATCTGTGTTTTCAGATGGTCTTAGGGGATCTCTGTGAAAAGGGTCATTTGATCCAAAGGGGTCGTGACCCACAGGTTGGGAATCTATGGCCTAAACTGTCACTCATAAGGTGTTTCGGAGTGGCCCTTGCATATTTGGTCAGTGTAAGGCCGGCTAATGGAGGAGAGGCTAGGAGCACAGGACAGAGAGATTCACACGGGTCCTTCCTTCCCTCCTGTACACTGAGTGCTTAGGTTCCCCTCAGGAAAGGCCGGGGGTGGGGGGGGGACGACTCATTCCTGGAAAGCACTGCAATGCCTTGAACTAATTCTCCCAAACTAGACCCAGCTTCCTCCCCACCTAAAGCAGCCGCCCATGTAGGAGAGCGTTGTTTCCCGCTCTGCATTCATGCCCACCGGCCTAGACACTAAGTAGGGTCTGATGGGTGGGCTTCAGAAGGCCTGGGACACCGGGGCAGGAAAAGGAAGGGCTGATCATCTGGGCCCGCCCCAGTCCCCCCAGCCCCGGGAGCGCGCTCTTGCTGGCCACTGCACAAACCCTAGGCCGTGTGGTCCCAGCCGTGCTCACACTGAAATCCAGAAGGGTCTGAGGTCTGCACTCAAACCCACAGCGACAAGGCGGGGCGAGGGAAGCGCAGGGTAGGGCGTGAGGGCAACGCTCAGCCTTCACCAAGGGCCTTGCGTGGTCCCCTGCCACCAGCTAGGGCCTGGGGACGGCAGCCGGCCCAGGCAGCGCTGCCTACCTCCTCGCCGCCGTAGCGGGCCAGCTCCTCCTCCGTGAAGAGCCGCACCGGGGGCCCGCGCTGTGCGGGGCGCGGCGTCTGCCCAGAGCGGGCTGTGGGCACCTGGGTCAGAGCCAGCACCAGGGCAAGCGCCGCCAGCGGCCGCAGCCGCCACCCGGGCGCCGGGCGCGCCATGGACCGCGAGGAGCGGGCGGGAGGACCGTGGGGCGGAGCACCGTCGGCACCTAGGGAGGGGCGCTGCCAGACAGGACCCAGCCTTATAATCGGCTTCTCTCTCTGATATAAGTCCTACTATGTAGCCTGTAATGTTCTGAACTGGAGATGATCCTCCTGCCTTAGCCTCCAGAAAACTGGATTACAGGCCGTGGCACCAGGCCCAACTGACTTCCTAACTTTTTCTTCCTTCCTTCCTTCCTTCCTTCCTTCCTTCCTTCCTTCCTTCCTTCCTTTCTTTCCTCTCTCTCTCTCCCTCCCCGCACCCGCCTCCAGGTTTTCACTCGGTAGTTTATGTATGTACAAGGCTGACCTTACAGGGATCCTCCTAGCCTGGTTCTTTTATGGGATTGTGTTGCAACTAACATGATTGTGGCCTTGAAGAGGCCCTTCAGGCCAAACACAACTTGACAACATCTCCGCCCTCCAGCATTCTGTTGACGGCCCCAGCTCCTTCACCTTCTGCAGGCCTGTGAGTCAGGACCCTCTTGAAATCAAAAGCTCCTTCCTGCAATTTCTACTGACCACACCTAGCGGCCCAATTCCCAGAGAAGCTAAGGATCAGCCTATACTTGAATAACATGCCCACCAGGCACACTGGAATCTACCTGAACCCTGATTCTCCAGGTGCCCCAAGTGCCCTCTGCCACTCAAACCCAGAGTCATTTTTAAAAATACTTGGAAGCAATTGTGATCAGCAAAGAAAATAGAAACTGGAGCCAGAGAGGTGGCTCAGTGTTTAAGACCCCCTGCTGCTCTTCCAGAGGACCTGGGCTCAAATTCCCAGCACTTACATGGCAGCTCATACCATCAGTAACTTCCAGTCCCAGAGAATCTGACACCCTTTCTGACCTCTCTGGGCAACAGGCACGAACGTGGTGCACAGACATACATGCAGACAAAACATCCGTATTGTAGGCAGAGTCTCTCTGTGTCCCAGCAGCCGCTCCCAAATAACCATTCAGAGACTTATTATTAATTATAAATGCTCAGCCAATAGTTCAGGTTTGTTACTAACTCCTACTTTTAAATTCTGAAACCCATATTTCTTATCTACCCTCTGGCACGTGGCGGTACCTTCTTCTAACATGGCACGTTCATCTTGCTTCTCTCTGTGTCTGCTCGAAACTCCCGAGACTCCCTCCTCCTTCTTCCCTGCATCCTTAGTCCGGTTCTCCCGCCCAACCTCATCCTGTCCAGCTGTTGGCCAGTCAGCTTCTTTATTAAGCCAATCACTGTGTGAATCTTTATTCACACAGTGTAAAGGACTATCCCATGCCATACACATGAAATAAATAAAATTAAAAAAGAAAACAGAAACTATTTCCCACTACTGTGTACTAGTATTTATGTCATAACGTGTCTAACGGTAAAACAGAAGGGCCGCGGTGCAGGTCGCTGGCCGCACAGGTGGCAGAAGAGGCCGAGACGACAGCCTGAGGTGACCCAGAGGAGACTGGGCCCAGGAAGGAAGGAGGTGGTGGTCAGGGTGAGAGTCAGGGCTGTGGGTCACCTGGCTGGAACTAGAGCAATAAGAAGCCTTTGGATTCGGGGCTGGAGTCTTGGGAGGGGAGCTGGAGCTTACCAGTTGCATTCTGCAGTGAAGAATGGAGGGAGCCTCAAAGATGATCTGGGCCTTTCCCTTTCCCTGGACCTGCCCATCCAGGCAGCGCTGCCTCTGGACTGAGTTCGATGGAAACCCAGCTCTAAAGACTTCTGATAACTCATTTATTCCCCCGGGGATGAAATGCCTCACTAATATCTCACCAGTGCCCTAGGGTTCCTTACTCCACAATCAAGTTGGCAATCAAAATTAACCATCGCAAATAGGCAGCAATACTTTGTATCACACATAAGGTAACCGAGGGACAGGCAGGTTCATTAACTCCCGAGACCACAGGATTGGTCAGAGCAGAGCCAAGACCTGGGCATCTGGGTGCCAGGTACCCGCTTCCACTAGCCACCCTCCGCTGTCTCTAGGTGGACTCTGAGTGAAGTGGCATACAAGCCCAGGCCTCAGAGAGTGATGTGTTGGTGTGCATTTGGGGGTGGGTTTGTTTCCTAGGGCCACTGAACTGAAGGACCACACACTGGATGATTTATAGGTGTGTCCAATTTCTTGATATTGTGACACATGTCATCCACAAAGTTCATGTTTGAGAATTGCACAATCAACTTACAAAAAAAATCTGTATTTTAAGTAAGTTTGTGATTTTTGTGTCAGGCTGGGTTCATAGCTGTCCCAGGGCACACATGGCCCAGGGATGGAGTGGAGACCTGAGCCCTCACATGACTCACTGGAGCCACTTTGGCTTGCTGGGCTGTGTCACACCAGGCTGCTTCTGTCTCACACGGTGTCCTCCTGTCTTGCCTTCATGTCACTGTGTGTGATGGTTTGAAGGAGGATGCCTCCCATAGACTCATCTTTGAATGCTTTGTCCCAGTAGATGGAACTGTTTGGAAAGGATTAGGCAGTGTGATGTTGATGGAGGAGAAGTGTGTCCCTGGGGTGGGGGTGGGGAGGAGCTTTCTCTCTCTCTGCCTCATGGTTGCAGATCAAGCGTGATGTGAGCCTCACTCTTCCACCGTGGACGCTAACCTCTGAAACTGAAGGCAAATTAAATGCTTCCTTTTATCCGTTGCCTTGCTCATGGTGTAGTATCAACAACAATGGGAAAGTAAGATGCTGTCCATCTTTTCACAAGGACACAGGTACTAGTGGATAGAGCTTACCCTATTCCACTGATGTCCGATCAAATCTTCAGTGACCCTGTTTCCAACAAAGTCACATTCTGAGGTACTTCCAAATATTTTGAGGGGACGTAAACTCATTACAAGACTCTAGGGCGGAGAGTAATTGAAGCCATGAGCCATGAGATGGCCACTTCCCTGGCCCCTAGGGAACCAGAGGAAAGGGGATGGAGAAGCTAGTTTTGAAGATGGTCACCTTGTAGAGCCAGGAGGACTAGCCAGGGGACAAGACTGGGAAAGAAGAGGGTAGAAGCAAGGGGTCCTGGAAGCCAGGAGGGAAAGTGTGTGCTGGGAAAGGAGTGTGGAGTCCAGGGCAGCGGAGAGGACATGGGGGCAGGGAGATAGCTCAGTGGTACAGTGCTTGGCTTGCAAGCCTCAGACCTGAGTTCAACCCCGGAACCTGTGTAAAGGTGGAAGAACGCAACAGACTTTAAAAAAGTTGTCTTCGGACCTCCATGGACACACTGTGGCATGCACACACACACCACCCAACATCTCATACATGCATACTAATAATACATCAAGCAAACAGGAAGCGACATGAGGAAATAGAAAGCTGGTGCGACAAAAGAGAAGTCACACACTTTTGAAGCGTGACTGCTCAGGAGGGTGGGAGGAGGGGCCTTGGGGACATCAAGGACTGAAAACCCTATTTTATGGCCTCTCCCCACTCACACAACAGAGCCACAGGAATGAGAGAGCTGAGTGTCTTAGTCACTTCTGGATCCAGTGTGGGCATGCACATTGTGTTTGTTAAACCGAATTGACTATTGCATTAGCTAGTATTGACTCCAAATATGTCATTGTCCAGTATGCCTGGGCTAGGTTTATCTGGTTCCTTTCAGCTATAAAGTCCTATGTGTGATACATTCCATTACCTACCCTTTTATTGACACAGTAAGAAATTTAATTAGTTGCATGTGTTTTTGTTTGCTAAATGTCTTACTTAGGGTTTCTATTGATGTGATAAAACATCATGACTAAAGGTAACTTGGGGAGGAAAGGGTTTATTTCACCCTACAGCTTCTAAATCCACCATCCAGGGAAATCGAGGCAGGAGCTGAACCAGATGCCATGGAGAAGTGCTGCTTACTGGCCTGCTCTTCATGGCTTGATCAACCTGCTTTCTTATTGAACCCAGGACCACCAGCCCAGGGTAGCATTGTCCAAATGAGCTGGGCTCTGCTCTCCCACATCTATCATCGGTGAAGAAAATGTACCACAGCTTTGCCCATAGGCCGATCTGGTGGGGTCAGGTTTCCAATTGAAGTTCCCTCCCCCAAAACTACTCAAGCTTGTGTTAAGTTGACATAAAAACCAACCAGTGCTGTGAGCTCTTATTAAGTGAGATACATGAGCCAGAATCCCACTAATAAACATAACCAACACTTGTTGAGTACCTACTCTGTGTTAGCTGCCATACACACTGTCTACAGCTGCTTCTCGGGCTTTGGGCTATGATCAAGTGTGTATTGTCTGTATACTGGCCCATTTAACAGATGTGGGAGGAGAGGACCTAGGGCAGGGGAGCGTGAGAGTTAAGACAAACAAAAGGAACCAACTTCTCTCTGGTACTCTGGGCAGGTGGTTGAGGATGGTTAAACTTTTATCAAAGATCTGCTAAGTTCTTAAGTCTTCCCTCTGATGCTCGATTCTGATAAATAAACAAAGGCATTTACAGGGTGGGGGCAACTGGATGCCATAACCAGCCCCAGTTGGGCTGCCCTGGCTGTCTTAGGCAGAAAGACTGTCAGTTAGATAGCCAGCTGACTACCTTATGGCAGCACCAGCCATTCTGAACACTCCACGGGAGCCTTAGAAAACTGTCCAGCTATTGCAATCCATTGCTTTGGCTCTTGAAGGTGCAGCCTCAGCTAGGGTTGTTTCCCACCATCCTTGACATACTACTTGCTGTCACAGCCTTGTGGAACTCTGGGTAACCATGTTGATGAAGAGCACTCCCACCTGGTGGCCCAGCAGGTGGATACGTGATTGGTGAAAACACAAACTTTCGGGCTGGAGAGATGGCTCAGAGGTTAAGAGCACTGCTTGCTCTTCCAAAGGTCCTGAGTTCAATCCCCAGCAACCACATGGTGGCTCACAACCATCTGTAATGAGATCTGGTGCCCTCTTCTGGCCTGCAGGGATATGTGCAGACAGAATACTGTATACATAATAAATAAGTCTTTAAAAAAAAAAAGAAAACACAAACTTTCATTTGCATGTGAAGTCTTTTGTGACTGGAATCCCTTCTCTGACTATATAAACACTGTTGGCTCACGTGGTGAGAGGACTCCTCTCCCACGGTGTGCTGTCTCCCTTGGTGTCCCAACATTAGGCCCAATGAGAAGCTTTCCTTAGTGGTCTTATTGCCTACTTCTAGTGGTGCGGGCCGAGCTGGAAACCGGAGGACCACAGCTGCAGCCGTAGAGACAAGGGAGCAGCAACAGGCAAAGCTGAGTGGTCAGAAGGCTAGCCAGCTGCTCGGCAGCTAACGGAGAAGCCGCTGGACAGTTGGAGACAGTGGCCAGCACAGGGACAAAGACAACAAAGGTAGAGAGTGGAGAGCAAGTCTAGACAACGCAAGCCTGAGAAAGGAAACTGTAGGACCTCGGTACGGGAGACTTCCAGGAGCCATCAGGCCCGGAGGGCCAAGAGTCTCAGACTCCCTAAGTTCAGGAGCTGGAATACAGGCTGTCGTCAAGGCTGAGGAACTCTGCCCTACTGTGCCTAGTAAGAGGGGTAATATTGCAGAGCGAAGGGTCCTGGTACCTAGGTGTATGTAAGAGCTACACGTATAACTATGTGTAGAACAGGACCCCATAGCTAAGGGTCCTGTTACCTGAGGCCTGGGTGAGAGCTGCTGCTCCAGAGGGAGCCACCCGCCGCTGCTCTTGCTTGTCTGGGGGCTCTACTAGCTGCTGCTGCTGTTAAACACCTAGAGATACAAGAGTTCCAGGCTCCTCTGATGTGGTTGGCAGTCAAGTGTCATGAGTAGGTCGGGGGCGGGGCCGCCAAGCTGCAGCTGCACAGGGCACACAGAGCAATGCTCGCTGAGGTTTAATAAGCAACCTCTGTCTGCTTCACGGCTGAGTGGCTCCCGTCAGGGAGAGGAGGAAGATGTGGTCCTCAAGTCCACCCAGTCACAGCACAGACATTCCGTTCTCCCCGCATTTAGAGCTTGTGGCTCAAGGCTGAACAGGTATGTAGGTGTTTGCGGATGACTCTTTTTGTTTCTTACAAAGTACTGTGGAACTATGGTGTTGGCTGCAGTGGTAGACAAAAGGAGGGCTCAGAATGTGGCAAGAAAATTGTGGGTGAGAGGCAGAGCTAGACTTCCAAGTGCGCAACCTGAGAATGAGGGAACCTGCTAAAGAGATGGCTCAGTGGTTAGGAGCACTTTTTACCCTTGCAGAGGACCTGGGTTTGGTTCCCAGCACTACATAGGAGGCTGGGATGTGTGATGCCCTCTCTGGCCTCCATGGTCACCTGCACACAGGAGATGCACAATTATACGTTCAGGCACACACACACAATAAATAAATAAGTAAATAAATATTTTTTTAAAAAAGAATAAAGATTATATGATTAGGGAAAGGTGTAACCCTAGGACTTAGGAAGCTGAGGCATGGTTACTGCCTATGAATTCAAGGCCAGCTTGAGCTACAAAGGGAGACACTGTATCTCCCTCCCCTGCCCCCTCAGAATTTTGTTGCTCTTTTCCCAGATGAACTAACTTGATCACCACTCTCTCCCAATCCTTTCTGATACAAAGTATCCCCAGTATCTCATTTTCTTAATCTGTAAGAAAAACGTTCCCGTTGCAGGATGCCTTGAAGAATCAAGACAGAAGTCCACGGTGAGCTTAGTAATACAGGGCTCTTTGGACATTTATTCCTATTATAAACCACAAGTTTCCTCTTCCCGTTACTGGGCGCTCCGACCCAGCTGACTTGGACCCCATGCCACGCTGCATTCAGGCACTCAGTTCCTCTGCCTGACAAAGAGAGGAAGTGTAAGACTCATGCGTGCCTCTCTGGCAGGAGGTTGATCTTCTCACAGCCTCTCCGGGCACACAGAACTACATCTCCCAGCGTCGCCCGCGCGGGCCCGGCGGCAGCAGGAGGTGCGCACGCGCCGAGCGCCGCCACGCCTGGTCTTCGGCGGTAGACCGAGCTGGTCTATCTTAGTGGAGCGGGCACATCTCGGAGCGCGCGCCTCCGCGGCGTCGCGGTCCCTGGTGAGCCGCAGCAGGCTAGTGCCATGATCCGACAGGACCTCTCCACATCCTACCAGGAGGTGCGAGCCGGGCGGGCGCGGGAGGCGGGCAGGGCACCCCGACCCCCGCGCAGGTGGATGATTGGCACTCCGTGGCGTGCGGGCTCTGCAGCAGGTGGAGCTGCTGCGTGGTCCCCGCACGCGGGATGACAGGGACCCTGGCCTCTGGCTGTGGAGAAAGCGCGTGGCCGGCCGCTCCTCCGCGGCTCCCCGTCGCCTCCACGGCCCCACGACCCTTGCAGTTCTTTGTCTGTCGCCCGAGCCTCGGGCTTCCCCTTGCCGAGCCCCGCTCGCTCCGGGCCCCTGGTGCCCCTCTGTCGTGGGGCTGCCCCGGTCCTGCCCTTGGTGTCTTTCCGCGGCGCCGCATCCTAGGCCGTCTGCCGCCACTCTCCAGGTTTGCTCGAGGCGGTGTAGCGTCTCCACACCGATAGACCTTGTCCACCCGGAGCAGCCCAAGCTCCTGAGCATGTTTCCGCAGCTCAGCAGTTTGTCCCGGTGGCCATCTCCACCCACGGAGGCTCTGGCCACACTGGAAACTCTCGGCCTCCAAACGAGCTGGCAGAGTGCTGAGCTCAGCGCCCGGTTGAGTTAGTGACCCCGGGTGAGCAACAGGATGCTGCCAGCTCCTGCTTCTGGGGAGTTTGGGGGTCTTGGCTTCAAAGGTCCGCGCTCAGCCACACATGGCCGCTATCTCCTTACTTAGCAGGGCTTATAAGATAATTTACTGAAGCACAGGCTTTTGTCTTGCTTGGAGAGCTAGGCCACAGGTGGAATCGGGTGTTCACTGGAGTCATGCCCGATGGGTAGAAGGCCCTGGAAGGGCCCTGTTTTGAAGTCCCGAGAAGACTGGCCTGCGTCTTTATTGCCTGGATTGTTTTGAGAGTGGACCTGACTGAGTTAGGTGTCTGCTGAGGGGTGGGTTTGGTGCTCCAGGATGGGGCTTTCTGAGAAGTTTGGCCCGGGGACAGGCAAAGACTTGTGATGGCTGCTGTGTGTCAGGACGGGGAATTGGGAGGAAGGGGAATTGCTGCCAGGCCTGGGTCAGGGTGACTTGAGCAGGCTTGGCTCTGAGGAGTTCCAGTCTTCCTGGGACCACTGTCTCCCTTGAGACTTTGTACTTAAGTCATCTGGGATGAATGTGAAAGATCTCTGAGGGCCGGAGGTGTTTGTAGCCCAGCTGCAGCACTTACTTAGTGCTTAATCCCGGCACTTAGTAGGTGGACGTAAAAGGGTCAGAAACTCAAGGTCATTCTCCACTATAGTGGGTTTGAAGCCAGCCTGGGTTACATGCGACCCTGTCTCAGAGGAGGGGAAGTAACTTTACTTGATAACACTGTGAGCCTGGGAAAAGCTCTTCCCTCCAGTTGGATGGAATCCCTCTAAACTGACTTCCCCTGCCTGCTTCCCAAAGCGTTAGGACGCTGACCCTAATCTCTGCTTTCTCAGTGCAGATTTCCCCATCCGACAGGTCAGGTGAGATCACTGAGGTTGCGGTTGCCCGGTACCCTGCTGCTAATTAATGCTGTTACCTGCACAGCCATCACCCCGTTCTGTCGCTCGCGCCCACATCTGTGGGCTTTAGCACCCACAGAGCCCTGACACCAGCTTCGCTGATCCCGTTTCTCTCTGAGGAGACTCTAAGCCCCATTTCCTCTTCCTCTGGGAAGTGGTTAAGACCATGGGCTTTGAAACTAGACCAAGGTGGCGTGACTCCTGTTCTTTGACTGACTCTGGCTGTGGGTTGGCGTTTCCCAGAGGGAGATATTGAAGTGTAACTCCAGTTCTTGCCCTATTTGGAATTGGAAATCGTCACTCAGGTGTATCACACAAAGACAGGATGTACTGGGTTCCAATCCAGCGTGGTGAGTCCTTAAAGGCCCACCCCCAGAGGGGCACACCCTGGTGGGGGCCTTGTGAAGATGGAGGCAGGGTTAGGCATCGGACACAGCTATAAGCCGAGAATGCCAGGGATTGCTGGCTAGGACAGAAACGAGGAGAGAGGCTGGGGACCGGTCTCCCTCACAACCCAGGGAGCCAGCCCTGCCGAAACCTTGACTGCAGTTTCCCAGCCTCAGGCTGTGAGAGAAGACTGTGGAATCAGCCTCACACATCCTGTGTCGTGTTGTCTTTGTGCCTATGTGACAATTATGTGGATGGGGCTTCTGCTTTTTAGCCTGGAAAAGGCAAGGCTGCCCCGCCAGGCTGCTCACCCCTTTCTTCTCCTTTAGCTCAGCGAGGAGTTGGACCAGGTCGTTGAGAACTCAGAGCAGGCGGATGAGCGGGACAAGGAGCCAGCCCAAGTCCAAGGTGCAGGGGCCTTGCCAGGTGAGTGGATTCAGGGCGCTGGACATTGGCTGTGTGCGGCTGCTGCTGGTCGGCTCCGCGGCTGCTGCTGGCGGCCCAGTCCAGGCGCCTTGCCAGTGGAGGGAGTGGCAGCCTCCTCTCCCCCACACGTGTGCCCTGGTGTTGGGTCTCGAGGTCTTCTCTGGTTCTAAAGCTCTACATATTTAATCAGCCTCCGGATGGAGGATGTGCCTCTCAAGGTCTGCGGTCTTGATAGTGGGTTTGAACAAGTTCCTGAGGCCAGGGCTCCCTTTTCCCTGAGGAGGTGCTGGCCAGCATGACTCTAAGGTCCTGATCCTGTCTCAGAGCCCTGTAGGAGAAGAGCTCCTTTGAGGCCCCTCCAGTCCTGCTTCCGGTGGGTGAGCTCACCTAGGCCTGGCCCCGCTTCAGACTCTACCTAGGCTTAACTCCCATGCATCCATGCTTGGTCCAGTGCTTTCCCTGACCTCGGCCTTGTGTCCTAAAGCCCAACTGCCCAGCAGAGGCCATCCTTGTTATTTTATTTCTCTTTCTGACATTCTCAATCTCCTTTTTAAAAGACTTATTTTTATTATGTATGTGTCTGTGTAAGTGTCTGCCACATGTGTGAGGATGCCGTGGAAGCTAGACGAGGGTACCGGGTTCCCAGGAGCTGGCATTGAGATGGTTGTGAGCACCTGACATGGATGCTGGGAAGGGGACTTGGGTCCTCTCTGTTCCGCTGAGAGCCACCTCTTCGGCCAACCCCCTTTTAACGTTTAAATTATTATCATGGGGGGGCACATGATATGTGAGGGCATGAAGGCCATGGTGTGTGCACGGAGGCCAAAGGACAACTCCGTGGACTTCATTCTCGCCGTCCACCTTTAATGTGGGCTCCTGTGGTTGAGCTTAGGTTGCCAGGCTCCAGGGGGCCGGCGGCTCTTCCCTTCCTCTCCTAGTTAATGCCCAGTCGTCCTCGGCTCCCGCTGACAGGGTCAGGCCCCACCCTCCAATACTGCCCCTGTCCTCTGTGCTCCTGTCCCCTGCAGTATTGCGGCTGCAGAGGTTTGTCACCGACGTCTCTCTCTTCTCCAGTGAAGCCTGGTGACGGCAGACACAGCTGTTCACCTTAGCCATGGCTAGTCAGTGTGAGTGAGTGGACGGAGCCACTCTTGGCTCCGGCTCCTTGCGTGGGCTCGGGAGTGGGTCCTGTTCTTTGGGTTCCTCTGTCTGTGGGGAGAGGAAGTCCTGTGATTCTGCTCAATGCTTGCAGGAGACCGAGGAAGGAGGCGAAGCAGTTACTGTTTCCCACTGCTCTTCCATGCCAGGCTCTGCCGTGCCAGCTCCCCTGCCCCCTTCCAGCCCCCCCCTCCCCACCTCTGCCCCCCACACACCACGTTTAATTCTCACAAGAACTCTGCAAGGTGAAGTCCTCATTTGGTACATGAGAACCGCAGACTCCGGCTGGGTGAAGCATGGAAGCAGACTCAGGCACTCTGACCCCTACTCCACCTACTGACTGGTGGCTTTTTATTTTAGAACATTCGTTTTGTGTGAGAGAGGGTGGGGTGGACACTGTGGAAGTCGGGGACCACTTGTGGCTGTCAGATCTTCCACTGTGTGGGTTCCAGGAATTGAAGTCAGGCTATTGGGCTTGCAAGTGTCTTTGCGCATGAAGATTCAAACTTCCTGTTTAGATAAGGTCTTATGTAGCTAGCCCAGGCTGGTCTTGAACTCTCTGAGGATGACTTGGAATTTTAATCCTACCCTGACAGATTTTGGTTTATCTGAGTAAATGTGTGGATAGTCCTCGCTGTGTTCTCTTCTGATTGACATTTACTCCATGAGGCAGGGAGTCATTAGACTGCGGTAAACTTCTAGATGGTTATCTGGTAATTGATCTGCTCAGATGAGGGTGACCAAACGCGACCAGTTTCCCTTACTCTTCCAACCCTTTCTGACCACCGAGGATCAGCACCAGGAGGTCAGTTCTCAGCTTCCAGACTTGGCTTGCCACAGTTGGGTCTCCTGGGCAACTGAAGATCCACGCCACTCCTTGTCTCTACTGTGTCTTTTTGAGACAGGGTCTCTCACTGGCCGGAGCTCACAGTGTAGGCAAGACTGGCTGGCCAGCGAGCCCCAGGGAGATGGCATCGCAACCTCTCCAGCTCTGGGATTACAGGCATGGCCCAGCAGACTTTTGACATTTCCAGTCCTAGGGATTGGGCTCCGATCCACCTCCTTGATTGTGGCTGAGCCATCTCCCCAACCCCAGACCTTTTGATTGGTTCCAATTCTTGGCTTTTGTGACTAGGCCTGCAGCAAATACAGAAGATGAAATACAGATTTCATCTTCTCCAGGTACGTTGGTGTATTGCTGGATCACATAATATTCCTCTTCTTTCTTCATGTTATTTATTTTTATTTTTTTGAGACGGGGTCTGATGTGTCTCAGGCTCCCTTGTTCTTTAGGGAGGGTAGCCTTCCTGAGTGCACCTCCTGAGTGCTGGGATCACAGTGGTGACTGGTGACTTCCCCTGCCCTGCGCTCTTTCTTTAGCTTCTATTTACATATTCTGTGATCTCTGCTAACTCTTTTCCTAACTTTGGATTTAGTTCTTTTAATTTTTTAAAAAGGAATTCATTGTTTCATCCACCTGAAATTTTATTTTGATTTCTGTGAATATACACGTGTCTGTGTGTGAGTATATGCATGCATGGGGGGTCTGAGGAAGCTGGAAGAGGGTGTTGGATCCTCTTCAGCTGGAGTTACAGGTGGTTATCTGCCCTTCTCTGGATGCTGGAAATGAAACATCCTCTGCAAGGGCAGCAAGTACTCTTAATTGCTGAGCCATCCCGAGACCTGGACTTGATTCTTTATTTTTCTGGTTCCTTGAGGTGCAGCATTAAGTTGCTTATTTAGATTGTTTTGTTTTGTTTGTTTGTTTGTTTTTTGTTTTTTGAGACAGGGTTTCTCTGTGTAACAGCCCTGGCTGTCTTGGAACTCACTCTTTAGACCAGGCTGGCCCCTAACTTACAGAGATCTGCCTGCCTTTGCTTCCTGAGTGCTAAGATTAAAGGTGTGCCCCACCACTGCCTGGCTCCATTTATTATTTATATGTACACATGTATGTGAGAAGCTGCCCAGGGAGGCCAGA